AAAAAAAAGGGGGGGGGGGGTGCCCAGCGCAAGGACCTGCGAAGAGGGCTCCGCTCACTTCAACCGCGAGCGTGGTCCCCGGAAGGGTGAGTTCACGACGCCTCAAAAGAAAAGCGGGTTTTCCTCAGCGTCGGGAGTGCTCATCCCTTTCCCGGGAAGGTGGGAAGGAAAGTGCAGCTGTAGCCCTAATTTGGGATGAGCAGAAGGCTGCATCTGAGCTGCAGAAATGAGCCACGTTTGACAACAGGGTGGTTCCCAGCGTCCCGGCTAGCGGCGCTCGTCCGCATCAGCCCGGTTCGCCCCCACTTGCAACCAAAGACCTCGTCCCGGCCCCGGTTCAGCAAAGCACGTGTTGGACTTTAAGCACCTGTGTGGGTCCTGTTGGAGTCAATCAGCAGGGGTGGGCAAAATGCGGGCCGGATGCGGCCCGCCAGCCCGTTCTATCCGGCCCCTGGGTCCCCTAAAAAATTTAGAGAATTAATATTATCTTCCCCTGGCTGCCTGTCACGCGGCCCTTGCTGGCTTGCCAAAACTCAGTATGCGGCCCTCCCCCAGAAAAAATTGCCCGCCCCTGAGTCAAAGGACCTGAAACACGTGCTTAAAGCCTGGGTTTCCGCCAGGCTTGGCAGGGCTGAAGCACTTTGGTACACGAGGGTCTCTGCCGGGTGCGCTGTGGAGGACTTTTGGCTCGGCGGGCCCTGCCTACCCCAGCAGGACGAGCCCAGGGACGGACTGGCTAAACCCCAGCAGGATGAGCCTGGGGGTGGCCCAGCTGAGCCCCACCTGTGCGGTCAAAGGAGGTTCATTCCTGCAGCGCGGGCACTGCCAAGGACACTTGAACATACGGACTTGGTTTGCTCTTCCGTGCAGACAACTTCGCCGAGCAGACGAGCGGCATTCGTGTTTTTCTTGTCGGCCGTCATTCAGAAGTGAAACCCAAAGCAGTGAAAAACCATCGGCAGCAGCGTTTCATTCGTTGTACGTCTCAGCCTGTTGCGTGTGCATGTGCGCGCATGTGTGTGTGTGTGTCTGCCCCTACCGTTAATAACCGTAAGAAACCACTCAGGATAAAAGCACCAATAAAACGTCATACATTGATAATAGTGTAGCAAACTACTGTCTCTGGAAGAGCTTGCAGAGATGCCAAGTACACACTGCTTTAGTTAGAACAAGAAGAACATTTATATGTAGTGAAATAGTTGTTGCTCTGAGATCTGAAGTCATTCGATACTTGCTTATTATAAAACAGTTGCATTTGGGGTAAATGGGTAAATACAAAAAAGAAAGGCACTGCCGCTTTATTACTAAATATTTGACTTCACAGCCTTATTCATGCAACTGGTTTTTTTTTATAAATAAATTTATTATACTTTAGGATTTTTTTTGTTTTTTGTTTTTTTAATTAAGCTCTAAACCTGCACTCAATACAGGCTGCAAAACAGAGCTGGGAAGGACTTCCAAAATTTAACTGAAGCCACTTTTTTAATTAAAACAAGAAACAGCAAAACACAACTAAGTAGTTCTCATTAACCTATACACTGTCAATGGAAAATAAGCTTAAAAAAAAAAAGAATTATGTGGTTGTTAATAACAGACATTATCATGGTTACCAGCCATAGCAAGTTAATAAGTAATATATCCAAAATAATATATCTAATAATCAGATAACCTCTGTTTCTATACTCAGCAAAGGAATAAATAGAATTTCAGATTTGTAAATACTTTTGAGTCTTCCTTTCAAAAGATTCAGGCTAAAGTGATTGTGTTCACAACTTGCTTTCAGAAGCTGCGTTTTGTATAGCTATGAGTGCTCAAGGTACAACTCTGACTGGAAAACTTTCTCTTTGTCTCTAATGCGTAACACTGCAGGTCATCATCCTTTTCATTCACTTTGTCTCCAGCTCTTCATCACACGTTCCCAAGTCCCTGGGTATCATCATCCTGGCTTTCCCCTTCTCTACATCACACTGCACCTTCTGGACCCCGGAAAACCAAATGTCAACTTTATGTCGATCAACATAAAAAATTGCATTTTGGCACTTTTAGTTTTTATAAAACTACTTAAAAATGCTGCCTCTAGACTGGATTTACTAATCCTACGGTACAGACAAGAGAACATCTCTTTCATAGTTAGAGTTAAGCCCTTATTCTCCCCCGCCCCCACCTTTTAAACTAGTCACACGTATTGGCACTAAGAAAAAACTTGCTTCTCTGACCGATCCTGTAGCTACCTGCAGAGAACACCCAACCTGGAGCAACGTGAACAGACAGAACTAATGTTGGAAGTATTGCTGATACATTCCCCTAGCCACGGTACGCACTTACACTGCTCTTCTTTATATGATAAAGAACGGGTATGTGAGCCAAATCACATTCTCACTTACAGTCATGCAAGACCCAGGGACGTCCACTGATGTCAGTGGAGATACAGTGGGACAAACCTGGTGTAAGTAAAATCAGATTCGGGTCCCTCTGTGCCTCAAGAAGTCAAGGGGCTTCAAAATAACCGTGTGTAACATGCTCTCACGGACACTGGAGTAACTCCCCTGCATTCAAGGGCAGTGCTGTGGATACTCACTGGTGTGGGCAAAACCCAACTGTGGCCCTGGATCTCAGTTGAAACCCTGGCTTGACCAACGTTGCACCCAATCCACCCATCTAAGGAACCGAGGCCCGACTTTTGGTTATACAAAGCAAACCCGACACAGCTGCAGTTCTGGGATGACAGCAGCGTAATACTGCACGTGCCCCCTGCCATCTCTTTAAACTCAACCCCACCCCGTGTCGACCTTCCTTCACTTGCATGCAACGTCCAGTCCAGTCTGCTTTTTACCCCGTGACCTCATGCTTGCCCACTGTTTGTTGAGAGGGAGGAAAATGGGAGTGCTCCAGCATTAACATGCTCCCTATTTATACAGCAAGCTGCAGTTCAGCACTGCTTAGATTTTGCTGCTGGGGTTTTTGCACAGGAACCTGGCCCCCTCCTGCTATACCGCCTGCAAGGAAAGGCACAGCCCCCTACCAGATGCAATTTAGCTGATACATGGTAGCCGGTTCTCGACATGGTTTGGTGGGTCAGCCCGGGGCGGGGAGGCAGATCGGTAAAACCCATGAGGCAGCATTTTGCTGTGCACTAGAAAAGAAAAGACATGGAAACTGCTCCAACTCCTTCTCCTCGCCTAATCGCACGTCGCCCTGCCCACTCGACAACATCCCCTGTTCTCTTCGCCGGGTTCACGCTTCCACCCAGCAGTAAAACTCGAGGCCTGCCCCAGGCTGCCCACACTCCCCAGAAGCGAAACTCGGCTGCGAGTTAAAATGCAAACCTGCTGCTAAGTAACAAAAGTTAAAATGACACATCCTTGTACAACAGGAACGTGAGACAAAAGGCCGGCCTGACGTCGTTGCACACTTATGTACCCTTGATATCTACCTTTATGTAAACAGTGCACAAATTGACATTTAGTTTGATTTGCTGAAAGGAAGCTTAGTTTTGGTTTTTCTCTCTTTCTTCCCCCCCAGCATGTTTTTGATCCCACTGCAGCTCGCGTTGATGTCTGAGCTCCAGTGAAATAGAGGAGATGGGAACTAGGAACAGTTTTGGTTTACACTGGGGGATTTATTTTTTTGGTCACACCTGTGTGATAGTTGTTACACGTTTCCTCGTTCAGAAACAGGGTTTGCTTCTGGTGCTCTCCTGTCCTCCGGACCAGAGATGAATACCTCTTTTACCAGCACCTCAGCTTGCTGCTCAGATTTTCCTTACGTGGGTTTTTCCTTTTTTTTTTTTTATTTTTTTTTTTTACTTTTTTTCCCCTTCTTCTAGCATGGATGTAATAAATGACAAAACCAAATTCCAATTCTAACAATATGTTCACAAGGACAATCTACACATCCACAAAATTAAAACAGGAGAGGGAGACAGAGAGAAAGGGAGAGAGAAAAAGATGCGAAAGGTCGTTGAGGATCCTGTGCAAGTCTGGAGACCCTTGCTACTGGACCCGCAGCAGTCGTTCTCGCAGCCAGCGCTGTTACCGTCACGCCTTCGTCTCCTATATGGTAGAGGTTCTGTCCACGCCATCTGAAAACAGCAATGCGCAATGAGGAGCAGCCATGCTTCACTTCAAGTGCTGCCGCATGAGAGCAAGCAAGTTGAGCAATGGTACAGCTATGCAGAAGAACCATGGGCTTGTGCCAAAACCCTACGTTTGGAGGTTGGGGAAAGGCATGTTGGGGTCCTCGGTGGCTGGGTTTGACCCACTTACCCTTGTACTTGCTGTGTCTTCTGTGCCAGGTGTCAGGGCACACATGCCCGCTCATGACTTGAGCGTACACATTGCATATGAACTAGTGATCTATGCTCGGGGCTCAGATGCATCCTGAAGGGGAAGTGCATGGCCCTGCGGCCCCAGAACTGAGGAAGCCAGCATGGCAATGAGAATCGCTGGCTGTTCCCTGATCCCTCCCTTGCTCCTGGAAGGAAGTAACCCGCTGGTTTATTGCCTGTTCCTACCTCCCTGGATAGGATGGGGTGCAGACCGTGGGCTTATGCATAAGGCAACGGGGATCCGTTCTTGCCCCTTGCTTTTTACAAAGGAACATAATAAGTGAGACTATCTGGCCCTGTATTAACACCTTGAGTTTAGGGGCAGGAGCTGCAGATCCTTATTATCATAGAAAATGAGGGTGTGAAGGGACCTCAGGAGGTCACACCTAGTCCAACCCCCTGCTCAAAGCAGGACCAGCCCAGCTACAACATCCCAGCCAAGATGATCCTTGGAGGCCTTGTTTCCTGCATGCTTTGCTCTGAGTAAGACAGCAGGAAGAAGCCTTTTTCTGTGAACGTTTGGAGCATGGAGTCCCGGCCAGGGAAGCAGTAACGTCTTCAAATATTCTGGGCTTTATTTTCTTTTTAACTTGCGACAGGATGGGGGAGGATAGTTAAATAGTTAAAAAATAAATGCCAGGAGCTTTACAGTGGGAAGTTGCATGCAATGCATGCAAAGCCTGGCTCTGTGAAAAGGGAAGTGCTCTTGACTGAGGTTCATGTTAGTGGGAGCAGAAGATACTCCCTTGATGCTTAGCCAGAGCTAAGGAAGCTGGGAGTAACCCCCCACCCCCAATTAATATCTGGCCATCTCTTTTTTAAAGACTTCCCAACTGTTCAAGGGTCCACTCACTTGCCTAGCCTGGAAATTATAGCTGGAAGGGCCCTCCAGAGGTCATCTAGTCCAACCCCCTGCCTGCAGCAGGATCATCCCTATCCAAACCATCCTATACAAACCCATCGTCTAACCGCTTAGCAAAACAGAACAGTCAATCCTGACATCGCACAACACATGACACCGAATCAGGCGCAGGTAAAGCAAGAAGACCACAGTGGCCAACATCTTGCTGCTGCAAAGGTTGTTCAAAATAAGTTCGAAGGATATCAGGAAGAGGATTGTGCCCCCTGCTACAGAGGAAGGCAAAAACCCAGTCTGTACCAAACTGACCACGGGCTAAATTCCTTCCTGACCCCAAATGTGAGCCTTGAGGACCTGGTGGGACAAATGGAGACACCTAAGAGACCTGATGTTGCTGCAAGGCCTTAATAAGCAAACTAACCTGCCAGAGTGAGCTGAGGGGTGTGGGTGTTTAGGGCCTAGTTCCCCCTGGTGATGACAAATGCACGCCTATGGTTTCCCCAGGCTCAGCTCTCAACCAAAGGGAAGTCAAGGGGATGACACTGAAAAGCTTTTGGGGACTACGAACAAAAAGAGAGAGAGAGAGAGAGAGAGTGTGTGTGTGTGTACGTGTGTGTGTGTGTGTGTGTGTACACCAGATGCTAGTTATGGCATAAACGCATTTAGGGTGCAAGATTTTTTATCAGAATCACTGCCTTTTAAGGCATGCGTGGAGAGCGGTTTCTCCACTGTCGGCTGGGGACAGGCCAACAAAAGTGCTCGGCTGTGGTCTGTGAAAGTGCAGCATCGGGCCCTTTCAAGCGTCTGAATTGGGGATACAAACATTGTACACCCAGCCCTATTTGGGGCACCTGGCGAGAGCCAAAGATGGGCATGGACCAAAACTCCTGGTCCAAATTCCCCTTGCCTGAAAATGGAGGCTGCATAGGGCCCATGCTTTTCTCTGGCATGGGCTGAATCAAACACCTTCAGATCCATGGGAATCCCTCACCCTTAGGCTGTGAGAAGTTTAGGTCCAGGTTACAGCTTTGCTCCTTGGCCCTCCCTACAGAAACCCCCGGGCTGGCTGCATTTCCAGCCTGACGAGCAGAACTGCTTCGCTACCCGCTGGGAGGGCGAGAGACAGCACGCACGGGCTGCAAACCCCCTCTAGACCGAGGGAGAAGCAGCTCCTGAAAGACCCTGCCTGAATCGCATGCACCATCAGAGGCAGCGAGCTCTCGCCTTCCCACCTCAGCCCAGTGCAACCCTGTATAATGCATCCTATTTAGTCCACAAATGAGACTGAGGAAATACCTAAGAGGCCTGCTGTAATGATACGACTTGCAAGATATACAGAAGCAGATGGTGTCAAGACACAGTCCGTTTTGTTAAAGAACTGGAGCGGCGCAGAAGGGCAGTAGCCCCGCATACCACACTGCACCACATTACTGACTTTGGCAATGGCCACGTAAGCTATTACTAATACAAGGCTCCAACAGAGCCCTCCCTGTTATGGTACTCAAATAATCACGGCCCTCGCCTCGTACTTAGGCTTCGATTCATCCATTTGGAATTTGAAGACTAAGAACAAACAGGTTTGTTCAGGTCTTTTTTTTTTATTTAAGAGGTCTTTTTTAAAAAATAAAAAGCTATTTATAGCACTAGTCGATTGAGGGAGGCTGGGAGTAGGCTGCGTGGAGGGGGGAAAAAAAATCCCAACCCAAAGGAACACAACCCTGCACAGAAATGGCTTGGCTAGATCTTTTCTCCGGTGTGGGCTGAAGAAGCTCTTCAGTCACACAATGATTTTTGTTCCCCATATGCAGGCTACCCAGTTCGGTGTAGGCTATGAACCCCATCAGCTAACCCCCTTGCTAGGTGATGGTATGCCTCTCTCCCCAGACATACTGCCCGGTAATTCGGGCTGTCCCCCCTGGTGTGGTCTGGGTGGGGCCTCGGGGACCCACAGTTCTCTCCTCCGCCTCGTTGGTTTGATGAAGACCCTAAATTGTGACTCCCTGGGCTCCCAGAAGCAGCTAGTTATCAGTCCAGATGCTGGGGGAGATGGAAGGGATGTCTCCAGCAGCGAGCACTTAACAGGGCTATTTTGCTGCTTTCTCTTCATGGCTGGCTGAACGAATTCATTCTTTCTCCGGTTTGCTCTTTGCTGGCTGGGTGGCTGTTGCTTGTCGCTGAGTTTAATTTGCTGCGGAGGGCGCCCGGGGTTTTGTGTAAGGATGCTGTTTTTATTCCTATCTAAACAAGCTTCGTACAGCTGAGGCAGCCAACGGCTCAAGTCATGACACCTCCCTCGGCTATGCTGCAGTCAAACCTCTCCCGCCTGGCTTTATATGGCCGGTGCTGACCTGTCTGCTCACCTGTCTGCTTCCTGATTCACCCACCGCTTCCACCCCGCCTGTCTGCTTGTCTGCCTGTTGTTGCTTGTACAAGTGCCTAGGCGGAGAGGTCTGTAGGACAGGGGCCGATGTTTACTGCTGTTTGTGCAGCACCTGACACAATGGGGCCACGATCCATGACAGCGGCTCCCAGACATGAGTGGGATACAGATAATGACAGTGGGTCAGGATATGCTCAATGGAGGACACAGACCTCACTGAATCCCTCCACTTTAAAGGCCTTTAATTGCTCTCAAGCTGTTTCTGGTGTTTTATCAGGGATGGGAAGCATGCTTGAGCTGTCGAACTGGTGTAGGCAAACCTATGGATGCTGGATGCAGCACTCCCATACATCAACTCCTGACATCTGACTCCTAAGAGGGTCTTCTTTCAACGGGAAAACAGATGAGGGCTGTCCTATAGGGTATCTAGAGACCATGACAATGGGTGTTTTAGAAAGGCACAGGGTAAAGTAACCCTAATTACACTCAGAGGAGGAGGACAGCCCAAGGGATCAGACCCTAGCCAAAGACTCAGATGCACCTTCAAATCCCTGTCCTACCACAGATGCCTGTGTGCAGGTCAGGCCATGGAAAGGCACGCTGCTTGAAGTACTCCACATGCCTCTGAGGTGCTCCAAACACTTAAAAAATGGCTGGACCGCTGTAGCAGTCTTCTCCAGTCTCCTTCAGCCACATGGACGGCGGCTGTATCAGAAACCCTTGCAGAGGTGATATAGGGCCTGGGCAAATGTAATGTTGATAGCCATGTAACTGGCATCCCAGTGAGCCTCCAAACCAGGGTGACTGCATTCAGTCTGGTGGCGAGTTATCCCTGAAAGGATCGGGTAAAACAGTACCAGCGGAAATCCCACTGGTTTGGGCGTTGTCTGTCCTCATCCATCCTGGAGTAGCTACCTGATAAAGGCAAACAGGCGATTACCTGCTTCCTGCCCCCCGCCCCTGCCAAAAGCGAGGGTCTGTATGAGACATCAAATGCGAGTGCTACCCTGGGAGAGCAGCGAGGGCATCTGCTCCCGATCTGTTTACACTGGTGCAAGGCCGCTGTGAATGACACTAGGGTATGTGTTTGTCTGTTCATGTCCGACCGAAACTGCAGAATCCTCAGGGCTGGGGCAGGGACTCTGTGGCCAACAGCACGGCAAGGCAAGGGGAAGACGGGTGCACTTACCACCTAGGGCATGCTCGGTCATACTCAGGCACAAGGACTCCAGCCTGTTGTTGATGTCAGGTTCTGTCACTGGCACCTGGAACTCTGCAAAGGGAACGGGACAGGCGGTTATCCTGGGGTCCACAGGGTTATCCTGGGGTCCACGGGGCAGGGGGTTGTCCTGGGGTCCACAGAGTTATCCTGGGGTCCACGGGACAGGGGTTCATAGATTCGTAGATGTAGGGTCGGAAGGGACCTTGTAGATCATCAGGTCCGACCCCTGCCCTGGGCGGGAGAGAAAACTGGGCTCAAATAACACCAGTCAGGTAGATGTCAAGCCTCCTCTTAAAGAGCCCCAGGGTAGGAGCCAGCACCACTTCTCTCGGAAGTTGGTTCCAGACCCTAGCCGCCCTGACCGTGAAGTCGCGCCTCCTGATGTCTAGTCTGAATCTCCCCTCTGCCAGCTTGTGACCGTTATTCCTGGTCACTCCTGGCTGTGCTCGGGGGAACAGGGACTCCCCCAATGCCTGCTGGTCCCCTCTGACCAGTCTGTAACAGGCCACTAGATCCCCCTCAGCCTTCTCTTGTGGAGGCTGAACAGGTTCAGGTCCCGTCGCCTCTCTTCATAGGGCCTGTCCTTCTGTCCCCTGATCATGTGTGTGGCCTCCTCTGGACCCTCTCCATGTTGTCCACATCCCTCTTGAAGTGCGGTGCCCAGAACTGGACGCAGTACTTCAGCTGTGGCCTGACCAGTGCCGCATAGAGGGGGAGGATCACCTCCTTGGACCTGCTCGAGATGCATCTGTGGATGCACAACAAGGTGCGGTTGGCCTTCCTGACCACGTCCCCACACTGCCGGCCCATGTTCATCTTGGAGTCAATGCTGACTCCGAGATCTCTTTCTACCACTGTGCTCTTGAGAAGGGAGTTCCCCAGCCTGTAGGTATGGTGCCGGTTCTTCCTCCCCAGGTGCAGCACCTTGCATTTGTTGGTGTTGAATCCCACCCTATTCCCATTTGCCCACCCCTGTAACCTGTCTAGGTCCAGCTGTATCCTGTCCCTCCCTTCTAGCGTGCCCACCTCGCCCCAAATCTTGGTGTCGTCAGTAAATTTGAACAGGTGCTTTTTACCCCCTCGTCCAAGTCGCTGATGAAGATGTTGAACAGTGCGGGCCTGAGGACCACGCCCTGGGGGACCCCACTGCCCACATCCCTCCAGGTCGAAAACACCCCGTCCACCACCACTCTCTGGGTGCGGCCCTCCAGCCGGCTGGCGACACGTCTGACTGTGTAGGCATCGACGCCACAGTCGCCTAGCTTTTTAACGAGAATGGGGTGAGAGACAGTGTCAAAGGCCTTCCTGAAGTCCAGGAAGACTACGTCCACTGCGACACCTGCATCCAATGATTTTATGACCTGTTTGTAGAAGGCCACCAGGTTGGTCTGACAGGACCTGTCTCTAATGAACCCGTGTCGGTTGCCCCTGAGCATTGTCCCCCCTGCCGGTCCTTCCCAGATGTGCTCCTGAATAATCCTCTCGAAGAGCTTCCCCAGGATCAAAGTAAGACTAACGGGCCTATAGTTGCCTGGGTCCTCACTCCTCCCTTTTTTGACAGAGGGTTATCTTGGGGTCCATGGGACAGGGGATTATCCTGGGGTCCATGGGACAGGGGGTTGTCCTGGGGCCCATGGGACAGCGGGTTATCCTGGGGTCCACCATTGCAGAATAAAAACCACAAAAGATTTCTTATGGCTGAAGACAATACTTCAGCATCTAGGGGCTCTTTGGCACTGACCTGAGCCCCAGGCAAAACTGCTGACCGGGGCATCACTTGCCCTGCATCCCTCTGGCTACAACTTTAAAAGACCACAATGGACCTTCTATCCCCAAACACGCGAGGGAAGTTTGTGTGCATCAGCTTTCACACTGCACCCACCCCCCACATACACCTGTTCATGTATACCATTTGAACTCTTGGCATTTGTATTTGCAGACAAGTGCCCTGGGGCGGATTCTCCTCGATTCATGCTCCATCTGAATTTTAAAGCCAGCTGCCTGGGAGGAGCAGCAGCATTTCTATGCATCTCAGTGCTGAGAGAATCAGTTGACTTTGTAGCTCATTATCGTCTCCCCAATCCTTGCTAATCTCTCTCGACTCCACGGGTGTTAACAGCCCTCTCTCCTTTTTACTGGTCTTGATGTTCCACTATTCAAACTCTCTTTTCTTCTGCTGTTTTGCTGTCTGTTAGCCATTCCTAGTAATGCCTCTCTCCTATTCCACAGCCCTGCTATTTTCCCCTTTTAACTGAGAAAAACGGCGATTTCTCATTTTAACACAGAAACACGTGGATTTTTCACTTTTGCAAAGAGCTCTCTGGAGGCTGGCAGAGTTGCAGCCTGCAAGGGGCTGGGGGGAGCGGGAGTCAGGCAGGGATGCCATGTGCATGTGCGTGCTCACACATGCACACGGCTGCCAGGCAGCCTGGAGAGCAGCTCCCGCAGGTAAGTCTGGCGGGGGCAATGGGATTGAGGCCCCCATAGGGAGGGACAGAGTTGAGCCTAACCTGGCTTGAAAAATACCATGGAAAAAGGGCTTTCAAAGGTCCATTAACAAAAAAAAAAAAGGACAGTAAAAGGTGTCTGTAATGCAGATGCAGCTACCCGGAGAATGGATAGCAGGCAGAGCTGCTGGGGAACAGGGACATTTGCAGCTGGGAGTGGACAAATCTCTAGAAAGGGCAGGTCTGTTGACAGCTGAACAGGAAGGCCCACAGGCACCGTGATAGACCCATGGTTGTGGAAGACCAAGCTCCCCATGCTGGGTGGAAAGAGAGCACCGAGGCTCCACCTGGGCTCTCCATCCCTACAGTCTTGTGGGCTGAGTCCAGCAGTGATTATTTTCACTTTTAAGGGAACTCCACATCACAAATTCTCCCCAAGAGAAGACAAATACCTGAGACTTGCACAAATATAATTATTGCTGTCAGCTGGGGAGAGGTGATCTGGGGTTAAGGCACTGGACTCAGGAGAGCTGAGTTAATTTGCATGGGTTTCCTGCATGACCTCAAGCAAATCTCCAGGGCCCAGATCCTCAGGAGCAAGCAGGTGCTTGACGCTCTTTAAAATCAATCACCTACATGGAGGTGAGATGCCTGAATACCTTTGTGGGTCTGCCCCTCAGTCCCTCTCTGCGCCGCCTTCATGAAGACTGTAATGCCATGGCTGTTCTCCCAGGCTTTGGCAATTGTGCCTGTTTGGAAAGAAATGCTGTGGCAGGTCCTGTCTCTTCAGCTGTATGAGTTATCCTGCCAGGCAACAGCACCCTCAAACCTACCATACTGTTTCAGGCCAGCGGGTTAATTGGTGCTGTCACTCACTAATGAGCTCTCCCGGGCCAATCCACAGCCCAGCATGGATATAGCTGTGCGGTATCCAGATCAGCCCAGGCAAATTGGGCACTGTCGCTGGGCACAGGCTTGCCCTGTACACATGTTCTTGTTATGTATCGGCATAACACCCTGCACAGTTCAGCTTGGACTTGTGCAAAGAAGTGAGCACATTTAGGATGGTGTTTTCACTTCTGCAATCAGGACGTGCAACTGCAGCAGGAGTAGGAGCCCCTATGTTAGCTTCAGTCTAGCTGGCTTGGGTACAACAGGGGTGCCCAGCCTTTGGTACAGCCTCGCAACCCAAGGAAGTATCCAGGGGCTTTGGCTGCAGTTTGTCCAGCCTGCGCTGAAGTCCCTGCTGCTGCTGCACCTCCACTGAGATGAGGAGCCAAGTAGGTAGCTGAAATAACGTGGGCCTGCCGATGTGTGCCAGGATCACACCTCTGACCGCGGCGCAGACATGTGACTGTAACAACCCTGCAGAACAAATGTGTTCTCTGCCTGAATCCAAGACAGCCTCAAGGCCAGCCCGCCTCTTTTCGGACCTATTTTGGGCCAGGTTTCTTATGTCTGCCCTGGTGATTGCAGAATCAAGGTGTTTTTTGTAAATTAACTTGCAAGTTGCGTGTAGGGCAGACTCTGAATCTCCTCCTTGCCAGGGACAAGAGGGCTGCAGAACTTTTCCATACGTGTGACAGAGGCAAAACTAAAAATAAGCCCCTTTGCTGGTGTCATTTGAAACCCTGTGGGACAAAGCCCTGGAGAACTGACTGTGGGTGCCTTACAAGGATTTATTTTCCCCTTCTTCTGATGCATCTGGATGGTTGGAAATAAAAGGCAGGTAGGGACCCTGGCAGCTCTGACGAGAGCAAATTGGTGGAATAACCCACTAGTGTATGTGGCCCATGTTCCCTTCTATTTCCAAAGAGCCTTTTAATCTGGGCATAATACATCTTACATGAAGAAGGTCACAGATTTTTCTTAAATGCCTCCTGGCCAGTACCTGACAGACACTCGAGTCCAGGTGAGGTTTGAGAGCATGGCACAAAAAAGATTTGGTGCTCACTTTAAACAGCATGCCAGTTCAGAGACAAACCCTGCCCTCAGATGTGCATGGGCTCAAGCTGTGTCAGAATTCCCACCAGAAGGGGAGTGAGGAGCAAGAACACTCCCTGAAGTTCCCCTCCCAGAGGTGTCTGCAAAAGCGGGTCGGATAAGGAGCTGAGATTCCCTTTCTAGTGAGCAGGGTCATAGCCTCCACGGGAAGGGGAAGGAGGCTGCTTGTTCCCGGCCTGTCGGGGTACAAGGAACTCTGCTCTCACCCCGTGCGGTACCTTTGTTCCAGGTTAGGAGATGCAAAAAACCAAGTGCCTCTAGCATTTGCATGAATACGGGTAGAAGTCGGCAGCCTGGCTCTCAGTATTTCTCCTGTGCTGCTAGCATGCAGAGGCCAGGACCGGGTCATAACTTGGGCTACTGTGTTAATTTTGCCTGTGATTCATCCCAACATAGGGCCGCTCCTAGGTCACCAACTCCAGTCCCCTGCTATTGCAGGCAGCCAGCTCATGCAGTCCCCTCCATAAACTAATCAAGCTCCTTCTTTAAATCAATGTGTTTTCCTGCCCCTGTCACTCCAGTTGGACAGCAGCTCGGTCCTCTGCTGAGCCTGCTCTGGGACGATGGGCAACTGCTCAGTTGACACCATAAGCCTAATCCTTTTCTCTGTCCACATATTGTTCTGGGGATTAATTCATCACTGTTCATAAAGAGACCCTTGGAGGGGAAGAGTCAGCGTGGTGCAAGCGGTTATTGCGATGACTAACGCTTTGGTGACTCTATGCATATTTTTGGCAATGCTACTTTTCAGCCCCCTGGAGTCTGCATCGATCGCAGACTAACGTGAAAGAAGAGCCTTCTTTATTATTATATTTAATATTTACCAAGACTGGTCTTCCTGCTGGGCTCTGGCCCATATGCAAGAGGAGACACAGTCCCTGTGATGTGGGATTAGATTTTCATTTTCAACGAGACCATCTCAACAGGGCAGATACAATATACAGCAACAGGCCCGATGAAACAATGGTGGGAGCTCCTGAATGGGATTGGTTTCTTTGGTCAGCGACCCTTGGAAACTTGCTGACTAACAACTGGATGCTGGTAGAGGGGCTGAATTAAAAGAAGAATGCAGCAATACAAAAAAACCCCACAGAAAGCAAGAAGGATTTTCCTCTGGAGGAAGGTTCAGGTCATTCAGAAAACCCAAGAGAATGGCAGGATGTTCTTCTGCACGGGAGGCTATTTAAAGTGTGCAAGGAAAAAGGTACAAAACCCCAATGTGGTGAACTTCTGCCTCACCAACGCTAAGTACAGACAGTCAAAAAGCCCAAATCTGAATCGATTCAATCTTTGCAGGTTAGTCTAAGCTATGTAGATTGAACCCATAAGCAAGTGAGCAGACATTCACTTTTGATTCCAGAAATGCAGCCACGTGCCTGCAGTGGCTCAGGTCAGGCGGTGGGGGGCGCTAGAGCACGCCATCCGGCTTGACTGGAGCAGACAGCTTGGGCCAAGGCTAGCCCACCCACCCACCATATAAGGTACGGGGGGAACTGAGAGGGAGATGCAAAGCATCCTAGGATGCTGAGGGGCTGTGAGTTAACTTGAATCTAGAGGGGATTAGGGACAGAAATTCCATAAACTGATTTAATCTAAATCAATTCAGCCTGATACTACACCCAGGCAGGTTTATCTTAAACCAGTTTGGGCCATTAGAAAAGCAGGTTCTGTGCACTGAATTTCTGTTGAGTTACAGATCTGAACCAGTTTCTGATCACTTTTATCAGTTTGTGTGTCACTTCTGTCCCTAGTCCATCGGTTTTCAAAGAATTCTCCCCAAATACATGAAGTCACCTCACTGCAGCTCGGGATTTTCCAGTCCATGTAAAAGCAAAAAAGGTGATCCAAGAGCGACGACGTTCCCCATGTAACATAAAGCCTCTCTGAAGGAAGCTATGTGAGGCGCTAGCGCAGTCAGTCTGTTATATATAGGGCCCAAATCCCTCCAGTGATGTCTCTGGTTTAATCAATCCGGTAATCTGACTAGCGTCAAAAATATCTTGGTCAGATTGCAACAGACTCGGAGCTTGCATAGTCTGGCTTGCCGCCAGCCCACCACGGTTCGTGCTTGCAATGCGGTTTAAAAAAAGAAAGCCTTCTATAAGCGCCCAAGAATGTATTGTGACAGTTGAAGCTAAGCACTTTCGGGCAGGGCTCGCTACTACAGCTATCCAAATACACTGTACTCTCGTACATCAAAGGTATGAATAAGCAAAAGACCAATGGCTTCTTCCTACCTGGCTGCTGAAACATCAGCATGGTCTGCGGGGACGTGTGGACAGGCAGGGAGCGGGTCCTTTGCACTGAGCTATGGGTCCGGCTGGGCATGCTGTTGCTCCCCCCAGGGTTTGCAAACCACAGGTTCTATGGGAGAGAGACAGACAAACCAATGCTTCAAGGGAAGGCCATGCTGGGCTGCGTTAGAAACCTTAGGGTCTACTAGTGCGTTTGTGGCCGCTCCCCGCAGCCTTCTACTCCCCCAGTGCAGTGCTTTCTCGGCAAGCATCATATTTATACAAGTTCTCTGCCTCCGACGCTCCCTAAAGCCTGGCGTGTCCTTCTATCTCACTCCCAGCTCTCCTTGTCCCTTTTCAGTACCCCTCTACACTGAGGAGAGCAAAAACAGGAAATGCCTGCAGACTGTTCTCACTGGCTTGGCTTTTTTTTTTTT